GTGTGTGTGTGTGTGTGTGTGTGTGTGTGGTGGGGGGGCGGGGGGAGTCGATGGAATCTGGGGACACTGCTTTGCAGGAGAAGCTGGTTTCAAGTTGCCGAGATCTAAGGCCAAGGACGTTCTACCAGACTCCCAAGAAGCTGGGCCTGCTCTGGCCTTTAGATCCAGCGGATGGTGTGTCAGGGACAGGGACACAGGTGGCCCCAGGGCTGTTCTGAAGCTGAGGAATCAAAATTCAGACTCAGTTCCATGAGATTTGGGGTTCTCAGGTTTCCCAGCAGAGAGAAACACCCGCCCCTGGAGAGACCCTCGGCTTTCCTGGTCTGCAACCCTGGAGTCCTAAGACCCACAAAGGGGAGAAATATAGGGAGTGAGGAGGGTCACAGGAGCCCTGGCAGGAGGAAGCCAGACCCCAGAGTCTTCCTCCACCCCCTACCCCCAGCAAAGTGGAATCAAACAAAGAAAAACCAGCCCCGGGGACCGGGAGGGAAAATGAAAAGGAGCAAAAAAGACCAGTCATGATGACGATAAAGAATGCGACTCTTCAGATGTGATTCTGTGTTACAAAAAAAAAAAATCAGACTCAATTTGCTAAAACCCGTGTGCGTGCGTGCACATGCACACACGCGCGTGCACACACGCACACTCACACACACACGCGCGCACACACACACACACACGTTTATTGTTTATTGGAACAGAAAAACCGACTTCTCTGAGAGGTACGGCCAGCCTGTGACGAGGTCACTCTCAGATACTCTTAGCGCTGGGAAAATGCGGAGGTAAGTTTTATTTCGGGGTGTAGCCGGGACCCCTTGGCTGAGTGCCCACCGTGAGAGGGAATTTCAAGTTCAGGGCTGGCGGCTCTTGACTGTCCCTCTAAGCCACACAAGGGCACCTCCTTCTCCGCCCAGCCACGTCAGAGCCATTGAAAAGACACTTTCTCAAGGGGGAGTTGTGGGTGGTTTTCCCCGGTTCTCAGTGGATTCCAAGAGACTGTAACTAAAGGCTGAAGCCCAGGGTTTGCGCTGCTTGAGTTGGCAGAGAAATAAAGAAAGAGACAGAGCGAGAGAAGTGGCTTTAGTGACCCTTGTTCCCCAAGAGGGCGAATTGAGAACTTTCCCCAGACCCTTGGACAAGACACTCCAGCCAGGATTAGGAGCGAGACAGAGATACACCAGAGTTACGGACATCAACAATACATTACAGATTTACAGAAGAGAATACTGTTTGTTTTTTTTTCTCCTTAGAGATGTGGATCTTGGTAGGAGAAAGGGCAGGGACGAGGCTACAGTTACTAAGACACGGTGTGGGAGGAGTTGGGAGTCAGTTTGAGAAAGTTTGTTTCACCAGCAATTCTCAGGGGCAGTTGGGCGGGAGGAAACTGGTTTCCTTGGGAATCTAAGGGCTCCCCCTCCCGTTCCTCTTCCTCTTTTCCTCTCTTCCAAATTGCTCGGAGAGGAAAGGGTCTCCACGGGCACGGATGGTCTCTCGTCTTGGTTCTTTCCCCGTCAAATGTGCTTAAGAGAAAATTCCTGAAGAAGGCACTGGGAAATCTACCCACCGCAGTCCTCGTTTCTTCTTGACCCCAGGGTGACAGGGGAGACTGCTCTCCCCTGGCCGCCATCTCTCGGCTGGCTGCAGCCTCTCCCGACGGTGGCCGGTGACCCGGAGGGCGGGACACCCCGGGGGACCTGGTCCTTAGCCCTTACTGAGAATGGTCGTAGTTGGAACTCAGGTTCGGCTGACTCGATGAAGTGTCTGTGAATCCGTCCGCGGACCAGGCATGCCTCCACTTCCGGCCTCTTGGCTCCCGCCTCTGGGTTGGCTTGTGTGTTTCTGCTTCAGTTGGTTCATGGATGGGTAAGAGATGGGCCTCTGAGTGAAGGCAGCATCTGCCTCATCACTGGCCTTTTCCCTCTCCAGACCTGCCTCTGGGCTGAGCTAAGACCCTCATAGATTCCGCAGTGCACGTGACACAGGGGGTTGGTGGGGGCGTGGCAGGGTTCTCACGCGTGGAATATGGGGGGGGGTGCGGGGTGGGTTCCTTTTGGCAGGTGGGGAGCTTGGGAAAACTTACCATACTCTAGTTTTGAACCGGGCACAGGGGTAAGAGACGACAGTCCCACAATACATTGACAAGTCAAAGGAAAAGTGAAAATAAACCAAACCCCAAACACAATACTTTCTAAGCATAGTATATGCTGAGTTTCAATGATTCTGTTTCTATAAGAACTCTATAGGGCTCTGGCTCTGAAGCCTGAAAAGGTAGGTTCTTAATGATACTTCTGAATTCATCCTTCAAAAGTGACTCGATAAAATGCTACGTTAAGGTTAGACAAAATACAGGAGGAGAGAAGGGTTCGGTCCACATGACCACACAAGGCAGAAAGGGCCTTTGGTTACAAGGAGAGTTGCACCAATTGGTTATTTTTTTTTTAAAAAAAAAGAAAAAGAAAAATCATTCCCAATCTGTACACTTCTTGTCTGCTTGAACCAACAAATGAAATGCCTAGATTTGAAGAAGGGGCGGTGAGTTCCTTCTCACTATATATGGCTATATTTTAACATGTGCACTTTCCTGATATGTAAAATAGACTATATTATTGTGACTATTAATTCTTCTTCTTTTTTTTTTTACAGATAGCATCAGCTCTAAAAATATCTGAATCGGAAATCACAACTATTTACTTTTATCAAAAAGCATTTGTTTTCCCTGAATTTTCACATTTGTGCTGATGGTGGACATTAGTGAGGATGAGAACAGAGACATGGGGTAGCCTAGGAAGGGGTTTCCCGACGTTCTCCCGTGCACCCCCGAACCGCGAGCTGGGCAGGGCACCCCGCCAACGTGCTGCGTCCCTGGCGTGCGACTGTCCCGGGGGGGGGGTCACCGCAACTTCTCCTGCCCACCAAGTAAGTCCCTTCGCCTTTTTGCTCCGAGGCTGCTTGACAAAGCCAAGAGACTTCAGCGCTTTTCTTTCCGTAGCCCGGGACAGGAGAGCAGGGATGTGCAGTGGGTGGGGACTTGACAACTGTGGGTGATTTTCAGAAACAGTCTGAACCGGGCATGTACATCAGCAGAGAACACACATTTTTAAGAGTGGCGGCATGACTGGGTGACACGTCACCCCACCTCAGGCAGGCCGGATGGCTCCAGAGCTGCAGACCAACAGGGGAGACGGGTACTGCTGGACCAACAGGCGGGCCGACAACCGACTGTGTGATGGACAGGCAAAACACACGACATTTGGTTCCGGCAGGAAGAACATATGCGTGTCACGATATTGAGGAGCGACAGATCTACACGGTGGCCCTGGAAAAAGCGGCCACCAACAGTGGATGAAGAGAATGACATGGCCCCATCGTGCCACGGAGAGGCCACTCCATCATGGCATCCTGACCGGCGGGAAGAACCCCTGGCATCACACTCACCAGGGCCTCACCCAATGCCACTGGAGGAGCAAACGGCCCAGAGCACTGGTGGAGTTGGACTGAAATCGGGCAGGCCAAGGCTGGGTCGTCAAACGAGGACGGGGAGGACCAACACCAAGAACTACACCGGACCCGCTCACGATGCACACAGATACTTATTGCTTGTGCCTGTACCGGCTGCACTGGGGGACTGCAGAGCTGAGCTGTGGGTACAGACGGGGACACGGATCGCGCACCACAGCGGGAGGACGAGAGAGAACAGAGAGTAAAACACCCAACGCCTAACGGTCTGCGGCGTTCCTCGGAGCGGTGCGGGCCACGGGACATGAGGAAAGGGTCTACTCAAGGGACCAGGCCCTTCCTGATGCCAAGGGGGTGTCAGGGGAGCTTCGGGGGGCAGGAGAGGAGCCCACAGATCTTTGACCTGGTAGACAGAGATCCCAGAACATTCCCCACTGGAGCCAGACCCAGGCGTGTGGTGACCGCCCGGCTGGAGTCCCAACAAGCGGCCCATGGGATAGCGTGCTCGTTTTAAAGTGCAAGATGTTGACATTGTCCCTGGTAGAACCTAGTTTTGAAAAACATAAAGTGCTTTTTATTTTAACTTTTTTTTTTTAAGTTTGAATACCACAGAAACAAATAAACAAACCAAAAAAAAAAAAAAGAATTTCTATCATAGTAGATGCCTCCCCTGCAGGAGCGGGATGGAGTCAAAAGTCTCAACAGGGCATTTCATAGTTTTGTGGTTTTTTTTTTCCTTTTTGTTTTTGCAGATAAAAAAAATCAGACTTTATTCTGTTCTTCAGGAACATACAGTCTCTTTGAATAAGCTATATCTTTTGCATATTTGACACCTGCATATCTTTTGAGTCTACACTAGCGATGTACAAAAAAGCGGGTCGTTCCACAGCAAAGCTCAGAGTCCAGGCTGTCGCCCTCACCTTCCGAACCCTTCCCAGATTGCCAGGGGGGCGATCAGAATCGAGTACAAGCGGTGTGACTCACCCTCATGGCAGCTGTAAATAAGCCCTCGGGTGGATGGAATACCGGAGTCAGTGAAGACATTTGAGGGAAAAGGGCTTAGCGAATGGTGGCTTACGGCGCGACACTTTTCTCACGGCCCCCGGAATTCTCTGCAGCCTTCGGTCCAAGGGATCCATCCAGGAGGTAATGGGCAGGAGTTCTGAGAGATGGTGCCCCTGTGCCCGGCCCCAAACTGGACAGCCCGTTCTTTGCACACTGGCTGCTCTTTCTAGCATCCCTCTTCAGCTGGCGTGTGTGTGGGGTGCAGAGGTTGGCGTCAGATGCTGGGGTGGAGAGCCAGGAGAAAAGAACGGGGGGGGGGCTATGCTGAAAATGCGGTAGCGGGGGCTGCGAGTTCAGCCCCTGTCATCTCCCAGAGGGCCGTGCGTGGAGTGGACGGAGGAAGGGCCACAGGCCAGGGCTTGGCCAGCTCCATTCTGGAGGGCCTGCCATGGCCCGTGGGCCTCAGGGAGCCTTCGAGGGAGTCTCTCTTCTCTCTGGGGGTCTCCGCAGTGCCTCTCTGGCTCAGAGTTCGTGCAGAAAGCTCCCCAGCAGGACAGCTGAATGGCGTGTTCCTCTTTGGACCTGGCCACGAGCCTTCGCCTCCCCAAGGGCTAGCTCAGATGTTCTGATCCCGCGTGCTCCCATGGGCTCCTCCCCCGGGCAACACGCGCGCCTCCGGGGGCAGGTGGTTCTCGAGTTTGCACTTTTCCTGACCACCGGGGCCTTTTCCAGTCAATGCTTCCGTCGAGTAAATACAGTTCTGCCGGAGGAACTTAGGGGAGCTGGGTAAGGGGGAGCTCTCAAAGTAGTTCTTCTCCGTTCGTGGCCCCAGGCTGAACTTGGGGCTGGTGCCCCCGGGAAGGCTCCGGGGAGGGCTGGAGCCCACACTGTAAAGCACTTGCGCCTCGTCATCCGTGTCCGCGTCGATGTACTGGTGGATGCCCGCTTCGAAGTTGAAAGCTATTGCGGCCTGCTTGTCGGGCGAGCGCGGGGGGGTCCGGGCACTCGCCGTGGTGTAGACGGAAGACTCTGGACTCAGGATAGGCCTGTCCAAGAGCGTGGCACACTCGAGTCCAGCCACGGCTGCCGCGGCGCCGCCCCGGTTCCTGAGAGGGTCCTGGTACAGCCCCAGCGTGGGGACCAGCGGGCTGGGTTCGCCCTCCAGGAAGTTGACTTTGAGCGCGCGGAGCTTCAAGGGGTTGTTGGTCTTGATGGAGCTCTTGGGGCTGTCGATGAAGAACGAGGAGTGGTGGCTGGACTCGGGGGTGGAGTTGGCCTCCCCGAACCTCCCCCCGCTGGCCCCCAGGGCGCCCCGCCAGCCCGCCTCGGGCGCCAGGCTGCCCCCGGTCTTGCTGGAGAGGGAGGTCAGGGGGCTGTGGGAGAACCTGGTGGCGTCGGGGAAGTCGGTGGCGCAGCTGATGAAACTGTCGATGCTGGACATGCTACGCATGTCGATGACGCCGTCCGTGCGCGCGGGCAGCGGGGCCACGGGGCTGGGCATGCTCTCCATTTCCAGTTCCTCCTTGGGCTTGCTCTGCGAGGCCGGCTCCTTGGTGTTGAGGATGGGCTGAGACTGGGTCTTGGCCATCTTGTTGTACATGTCCTCCAGCTGCTGGACGTTCAGGTGCTGGGGACTGGACGACGACCGGACCTTCTCCGGGGACGCCTGCTCCTTGGTCTCGAAGGACTTGCTGGAGCTGGTTTCCGACAGCGCCCGCTTGGTCCATTTCCACTTGCTGGGGGAGAGGTGGTTGTCCTGCACTTTGTCCTTCTTACCCAGGTTGTCTCCGTTCTTCTCCACCACGATGTCCATCATCTCGATGCTGCGGGCGAAGGCGTCCTTCATGTTCATGGACACGATGCTCCCGTTCCTCTTGGCTCTCTCCAGCGCCTCCCTCCGCTTGATGGCTTTCTCCTGCCTCTTCTGCTCCTTGTAGAACTCGGAGAAGTTGTTGACGATGATGGGGATGGGGAGGGCGATGACCAGCACCCCCGCGATGCAGCAGAGCCCGCCCACGATCTTCCCGAGGAGCGTCTTGGGGTAGATGTCGCCGTAGCCCACCGTGGTCATGGTGATGGTGGCCCACCAGAAGGAGGCCGGGATGCTCTTGAACTTGGTGTCGTCCTCATCCTTCTCGGCGAAGAAGACGAGGCTGGAGAAGATCATGATGCCCATGGCGAGGAAGAGGATGAGCAAGCCCAGCTCGTTGTAGCTTCTCCGCAGGGTGAAGCCCAGGGACTGGAGGCCGGTGGAGTGGCGCGCCAGCTTGAGGATGCGGAGAATCCGCATGATGCGGAAGATCTGGACCACCCGGCGCACATTCTGGAACTGCAGCACGCTCTTGTTGGACTCCGTGAGGAAGATGGTGACATAGTAGGGCAAGATGGCCAACAGGTCGATGGCGTTGAGGGGGCCCTTGAAGAACTTCCACTTCTTGGGGGAGGAGAGGAAGCGCAGCAGGTACTCCATGGTGAACCAGGCGATGCACACGGCCTCCACGTGGGCCAGCTGGGGGTTGTCTGTGGTCTGGCCAAACTCATCCAGGCTCTGCAGCTCGGGCAGCGTGTTCAGGGACAGGGCGATGGTGGAGAGGACGATGAACATGATGGAAATGATGGCCAGGATCTGGGCGGGAAAGAGAGGGAGGTTTAGTGTCCAGACGCCCACAGCAAGAGCTTCCCGACACAACTCCGTTTACGGTACAGATCTGGAAGCAACGATCCAGAGAATTGAAGTGGTTTAAAGCCAGTCATTGGGGCCGGAGCGATAGTACAGCAGGGAGGGCACTGGCGTTGCACGCGGCCAACCTGGGCTCGATCCCTGGCATCCTATAGGGTCCCCCGAGCACCACAAACGAGCACCACAAACAGTAATTCCTGAGTGCAGAGCCAGGAATAACCCCTGAGCATCACCAGGTGTGACCCTGCCCCCCGTCCCCAAATAGTAAAGTTAGTCATCAAGGTTTGCAGTCGGCGAAATTTTTCTAGAAAGAGCTAGACAGTTAACATTCCAGACACTGAAAGCTGATTCTTTTTTTTTTTTTTTTGGCTTTTTGGGTCACACCTAGCAATGCTCAGGGGTCACTCCTGGTGGTGCTGGGGGACCATATGGGATGCTGGGAATTGAATCCAGGTTGGCCGTGTGCAAGGCAAATGCCCCACCTGCTGTGCTAGCGCTCCAGCCCCTGAAAGCGGATTCTTTCCGTGAACTCTCCAGTTGAGGTATGAATGCAGTGAACAAACACATGAACATGCAGTTTGCATGCAGCCGTGTCCGAATAAAACTTTATTTGTGAAAAATCAGCAGTGGGCTGCAATTGGCTCGTGACCGTGATGAATGTTCCTAGGTATTAGGAGGTAGGCTACCAATTTCACGACTAATGAGACAAATGATAAAAGCAATTATCACCCTTTACTGAGTGTTCCTCCCAGGCTAGGGATTAGCACTTTCCATGTAATACTTCTCATTCTTACAACCGCCCCAGGAGGCATTGTATTGCCACTGATCCAGGAAGAAACTTAAGCTTCCAAAGCCAGTAAGCAGCTGGGCTAAGACCCTAACCAAGGTTTGTCTGAGGCCGGAGAATAAATGTTTCAGGTCGTGACAGAATCAGAGAGACGCCACGAGACAGAATCAGATAGAAGCCACGAATCTTTTGGACAGACACACAGTGATCTCCCAGGGAATTCCCAGGGACTTGGAAGCATCCTGTCTCTCTCCACAGTAGAAGTTCCCAAATGGGACTACAATTTTTTTCCTCTTTTTTTTTTTTTTTTTTGTGCATGGCTGAGAACTACACCTGGTGGAGCTCAGGGCCTTACTCCCGACTCTGTGCTCAGAGATCACTCTTGCCGGTGCTCATGGGGTGCTGGGGCTCAAACCCGGGTCAGCCGCGTGCAAGACAGTGCCCTCCCCGCAGTGCTCTCGGCTCTGGCTGGGCCAGCAGTGCTCACTGAGCCTTCTGAAGCCTCTCTTCTCGCCGTAGAGTGCGATGGTGGGACAGAACCTGCTCAAGGGGCTGCTGAGATGTGACGGCCACTGATGGGGCTTCCGGGAGGAAGCGTCCAACCATGCCAGCGATCCATGGGAGCATCTCAGCCCAGGCCACCCACTCAGAGCCACAGCCCGGCTGCCCTGGGCTCTCTATCCCGGTCCAGAAGCCGCCAGTTGGTCCCTCCCCCGACTCAGGTTCTGACCCCACCCCCTGGGCCCCCACTGAGTCCCTCTGGGCTGCCTGGGTCCCTCCTGTCTCAGGCCCCCAGGCTCCCTCTCTGGTCCCTCTGTGCCATGGATCAGACCCCCCAGCTGGTCGCTTCCTTCAGGGAACCCCCCTCAGAGTGGCCCGCACCCTCCACTCGCCAACCCAGCTCTCTTGCCTCTTCCTGCTTCCCTGCACGGGCCTCAGATGCAGGGTTTGACTCCAAGACCGCACCTGACAATTTCTGCATTTGTTTTTGGTAATGAGAACCCAGAGGTGGGGGGCTACTGGCATCTGGGGGGCAGAGGTCAGGGCAACCGCCCCCCCAACCCCCGCCCCAACCAAGCCTCGTCTAGTCCCAGACCTCAGCAGGAAAGAGACGACGCAACCCTGGGTGCCATGATGGTGTGTGTCCCCCGCCCAAAGAGGCCATGCAACCCTCAGGCACAGTGATAATGTTCCCCAAAATCAAGTTGTGGAGAGTGTGGGGGGCTCTGGGGGGGATCAGCATGCCCGGCTAGGAGTGCGCTGGCCCGACAGCGCAGCTGAAGTGCTCCTGAGGTCGGGCAGTCTGTCCCTTAGAGCTGGGAGGGCCGTGTCCCCAGAGGTGGGCGGGGAAGCCCTGACGGTGAGCTGACACCCTCCACCCCGGGAAGCCCACAGAACGGAGGTTCTGCCTCCAGACGCACGATTTATGCACCCAGCTACCGTGGGTCTCTGTGCACCATCGGGCACCCGTCCAAGCCTGAGAACCCCCTTCCCCTCCTCTCTCCTGCCCTCCCCTCCTCTCCCCTCCTTCCTCCTCCCTCCTCTCCTCTCCTATCTCCCTCCTCGCCCCCCACCATCCTCTCTCCCTTCCTCCTTTCTGCCCCTCTGCCATACCCCCCCTTCTCCCATCCCCCCTTCCCTTCCGATCACCTCCCCTCCCCTCCCTTCCCACATCCCCTCCCTTCCCCTCCCCTCCTCCATCACCTCCCTCCCCCTCTCCCTTCCCATTCCCCTTCCTTCCTATCACCTCCCCTCCTCTCCACTCCCCTCTCCTCCCCTCTCCTTGCAGGATGGGGGCTCTCTGGAAAACAGGAAATGGAGAGCAGAGACCCCCCCCACCCCCTGGCCAGAGGAGCCAGTCAGGCCTGTCTCCTAGGCCCAGAGTCTCCCAGATCCCCCGGGGCCTGCCTTCAGCAGGGCACTCAGACTAATTCCCCATCCCTTAGCTTCAGTGCCGTACCCCCGTTGGGTGGAACCCCGCACCCGCTTTCCTCATCCAAGCAGGGCAGAAGGTCCTTGGAAGGCTGCGGGGAGATGTCGAACCCCCGCCCCCGCCCGCCAGCCCAGGGGTGTCGGGTCAGGGCGTGCGCCCAATGCTCCTCTGGCGTGGCCAAAGCCCGGCCCGTCTCACATGCTGCATCCGCCAGCTGCACCCCTGCCTCCCGCAGCTGTTCAGCGAAGGTGCCCTGAGCTCCCGGACAGCCTGACCACGCATGTGAGTCGTGCTGACCAGCCCCCGGGCCCAGTGCGGGGGCCCGGGTGGCACCCCGAGTCCTTGGGGCCCGTTCCCGCCCTCTGTTTTTCCAGGCTTGTTTTCCTGGGACCAGCGCCCAGGCAGGTTCGGGAAGGACTCCAGGAACCCGGGAGCGGAGGCAGGAGCCAGGCCGGGCCCCGAGGCTGTCCCCAGATTCCCTCCTGGCCGGGGGCTGCGAGCCCGGGGCTCCCCACCACCCTGTCTGCACAAACAGTGCTCTGGGCCAGGCGCAGGCAGGGGGCGGGGAGGCCCAGGGCAGCTGGTGTGTGTGGGGGGAGTCCGGGCAGCCCTCCCTCATCTGAGCGGGTCGTTCTGGGGATGCTCACGGCTGCCTCCCACGCTCCACACCCCCACGCGTCGCTCCCTGGCACCCCTCACTGCTCCCCAAACCTGACGTGGCAGAAAAGGCCCCGAGGGTGGGCAAGAGGGGGCAGAGGAAGGGCCTGACCCCCACCCGTGGGGTGCGTCTCTGTGTTGACTCGGTCCTCTGACACTGCACCTCACATCCTCCCTCTGAGCACAACCTACGGAAGGAAAAGGTGACCCCCTGTCCCCTCCCCTGGAGACTTAGTTACCCCAGGAGGGAGGAGGAACAGGTCACCTGACTACACCAGGGAAGCCGAAAACGCTGCCGTCGTGAGAGAAGGCGGCCAGGGGCAGCATGGCCTGGGCACTCTGAAAGGTTCAGAAAAGGGACAGGGGCAGCTCCCTGGCTTCCAGGAGTGGGGGGTGGGGCAGGGGCACAGAGAATGGGGCTGAGCCCCCCAGCGAGGCGAGTGCGAGGCTGAGTAGGAGAGGGCAGGACCAACTGGCAAACTTACTATAGCATCACTGGCACTGTGGAGCCTGGAGAGGGAGACTGCGGATGAGAAGATTCGGTAAAGGGCCTGGAGCGACAGCACAGCGGGGAGGGCGTTTGCCTTGCACGTGGCCAGCCCAGGTTCGATTCCCAGCATCCCATAGGGTCCCCCGAGCACCGCCAGGAGAAAGTCCTGAGTGCATGAGCCAGGAGGAACCCCTGAGGATCGCCAAAAAAAAAAAAAAAATTTGGTAAAGCTCCGTAAAGCGTTGCCTTCCATCACTGGTTTGGTTTTTCTTCCCGGTCACAGGGTTCCCGTCCCCCCACCCCCCCGCAGTACTCGGCGGCCAGGGTTACTTCTGGTGGTGCCTAGTGGCACCCTGAGGTGCTGGGGGATCAAACCTTGGGCCCCACAGAGCCAAGACCACACCCCGAGCCCCACACAGGTGCTCGGGGGAACTGCTAGTGTCAAGGATTGTGCAGGGGTCCCCCTCAAAGCGAAGCACATGCCCGCTGAGTTCCCTCCCCTGCCCCGTTCTTTACTTCTGGTGATTTTATTGTTCTCTCTGCAAGGCTTGGGCTGCAACCGGCTCTCCTGTACGGTAGGCACACACTCCCCAATGCTCTGCCGCCACCAGGTGCCAGGGGAGAAGCCGAGTTCCAAGCAAGCAGCTATTACCCCTGCAAAGACACCCCCCACCTCTGTTTGCACTTAGGTGGCAGACGTTTATCTGATGCTAAGTGCCGCACCAGCTCCTGAGGATACGGCATGGAGAAGGAGGAGGAGGACCCTGTCTCAGGCCTCCAGGAGCTGACTGGGAGAGGCAGGTAGAAAAAAAACACCCGTCAACCCATAAATGAGCAAGAGGAATGAGATCCAGTTCTGTGCTTCGGTGGCTGACAAAAACAAAGCAGGAGATGAGTAGAGAAACACTGTCCTGTGTGTGTGTGGTGTGTGTGTGTGTGTGTGTGTGTGTGTGTGTGTGTTTCATCCGCAGCTACAGGTCAGGGAGGCCTCTCTTAATAAGGGGTGTCCTGCTGCTGGATGAAGAGTATCTATCCTTTGACAGATGGCATAGCCCGTGCAAAGGCCCTGTGGTGGGGTG